TCGTCTCTTCCCTCATCCAAGAATCCTTGTGAACACCGTCACATGTAAATGCACACTCTGACTAAAAACTGATACTCTTCTTTTCAATTTATGGTAAGAAATAGGCACTTCCCTGATGTAGTTCACTGTCTGTTCAGGCAGACATTTGGAAACAGAAGAATCATGTCTTAGAGGACTTTAAAGGCAATCTGACCGATTGCTTCAGACCCAGATGTCTGCAGTTAAGTGGTAAGTGCCCCACAGCCATGTCTCTTCCCCCTTGTTACCCTCTTGGTAGAAGAACATGTGCATTCTCCATGAATGCTGATCACAGTGGATCAAATACTGAGGGATATCCTTTTCTCCTTGGGGTGAACTTGTACAATTATTCCCACAAAAATAGCCATATTCATATAGTTGTTCTTTCAGACTTCAAGGACCATAACAAAAGGGACTCTTCCAGTGGTGATTGACTGCAAGGTGGTTTTGCTTTGGATAACATAGGAGAGAGAGGGCAGTAAAACCACATTCTGATCATAAGGATTAGAAAGAAATGATAATGTTACTCCTATGGAAAGAACAGTGCAATGAAAAGTATATTGTCCACAAAATCTATTTGTTGAGCAAACATGACTTTAAAACATCTTTCTGTGAAAGCATTCAGTAAAGATTGGCATCATCAGGAGAAATACAGGAAGGCTCAGCAAGTTTGCTTTGGAGCTTGTAATACTGATGTCACTGAGCAGGCTGGGGATAACTCCAGCGGATGTGTGAGCTTCCCTAAGGGCAAAAAAAAAATATTATTTCCAAATGGAAAGATACACTTCAGAAAATAGTTCCTGGACTTAACTGCTGATGAACCAGGTAGGCAGTAAAATGCTAAAATGAGCTAATTGCTTGAGTTTCAGATAGGTGGGAGCTGTCTGCACTCTGGATAACAAAGCACAGCACAGAGGCAGATGAAAGCAATCCAATGTAAGTGATTAATTTACTGAATGCAGTGACTAGTTTTCTGCTGAGAAATTTTTGTTAATTTTAGAAAGTAATTCTTTAGCTTTGCTATTGTTTTGGACACTTCCCCTCTCAATCTCTGTCTGTGTTTTGCACATGGTGCAGCATCTGTTGTGTGTGTTAGGCAAGATGGTTGAGGAGGAAAAGCAGCCCAGGTAACCGGAAGAGAGCAGTCAGGGAGAGCCATAACCCTGGAAAATGTCAGGGTGATGGACAACATGTGGTGAAGCTTATATATAGGGCAGCTGGAAGGTGATAAATGATAACAAGGCAACTGGATTCTTCTACCTTTGCATCTAAAACTACCAGTCATTTACTTAGGTACTTACCTAAAGATCAGGACTAAACAATATAAGCCCCTCAAGTACATTGTGTAAGAAGAAACTACACAGATGCTGTTTGTGACCTTGTTGCCCAGCTGTTTCTCTTCTTTACTACATTGATGATCTTAGAAACACTTTAATGTCTCAGACATGGAGAAGATGTGTTTTACAGAAGTCTGGTTTGTTTACATGCAGCAGCAGGGACACACAGAAAGAGCTAAAGCACAGGCTTTTATCCATTGTTTTGTCCAGTTTATTTGCAATTTGGATATAGTTCTAGTGATTGCCAGACCCCATTCCTCTAATATTATCCAAATCCATTAAGAAACAGAAGAGTTTGGAAATACCTTGGAAAAGCTGCCACTGTATTTCCTGCTTCAGCAAGACACAACCACATCTCCAGATAAACTGTGGTAATTTTTCTGGTCTCCATGGAATCACTGGTTGGTTTGGGTTGGAAGGGACACGGAAGATCATCCAGTCCCAGCCTCCCCACCATGGGCAGGAACACCTTCCACAGACCACTTTGTTCACAGCCCCATCCACCTCGGCCTTGAACACTTCCAGGGATGGGGCATCCACTCTTCTCTGGGCAGCCCATGTCAGCACTTTACCACCCCATAGTAAAGAATTTCTTCCTAATATCTGTTCTTAATCTACTTTCTCAGTTTAAAGCCTTGGCCTACCACTGCATGTCCTTGTAGAAAGTCCCTCTCCAGCTTTCTTGTTGGTCTCCCTTAGGTAAGCTGTTTGTTTCTCCCTGGGCAGAGTGCCCATGGTTGCAGGCAGCAGATGGGCCCTAAATGGGGGCCAAGCTGGAGCATTGCTGAAACAAAACCACACTTACTTGACCAGAAAGAACACCTTCTTCCCAGAATAAACTCTGTTTGCCCCACACCCAGCTGATGAGGTGGTAAAGAATAACCTCTGGGTCCTGGCCAGGCCCCCTCCTTCTGCTGCAAAAACTAATCCTATCCTGGCCAGAACCAGGACATGTTCATACTGACATTTTTTTTTCTGAAATGTTTGCTCTGTGCTGCTTTACGTTCCAGGTGTCAAAATTAAAAGTCTCCCCTAACTCTGCACAAGTGTTGGTGTTCTCCAAACATGCCCATAATACGGTGAGTCACTGCTGATGTCACTGGGGACTTCATCCCTAAATGACTGCCACAAGGATAGGGGTGAAGGGAACATATTGGCCTGTGCTTGTCAAGGAACACCAAAGGCTTCATTCATAACTAGAAGAGAAGCACTTAGCTCAGAAACCTGTTTAATGCCAGCACTGATCTAAGTCTTCTATGGAATTATTAAGATACGACTTCCCAGAAAAGAAAGTGAGGACTTCAGAGAAAGCATTCAGAAGGCTTTTTGAAGGAAAAATTGAGTGTCTACTTAGTGGAGCCAACAAATCCTCTGTCAAGGTTTATTCTTTTGATCTCTGTAATATATATAGGCCCTGGTGCTGAAATAGGTGCTTTTGACGTACATTTCTCTCTTAATTTAGCTCTGCTTTTAATGAGTTTGCAAGCTCTACGGGCATACCCAGCCAGGAAGGTGACTTGGATGATCTGAAATCAACACTCAGAGCATAGAGTTTACTATTAGTGCCTACAAGCTGAACACATTTATCTCTTTATATCTCATGGAGTCAGTAAAGTGACCCAGCTCAATCTGTGTGCTAGTGTACAGGCACAGCAGTGTCAAGGGCCTGCACTGGTCCTGCACCAGGGAGAGGGTTCCTTTCATGGCACCAAGGGTGCTCTCTGCTCACGGCGGCCCCGAGGCAGAACAAAAGAGCTATCAAAGCAGTTTACACCTCCTCAGCCCTTTGGCCATCGATGCAGCATCCTCAGATCCCTGAGGATCAGGCTGGCTGTTACAGAGGTAGAGGTCTGGTAAGATCCTCAGAATGGGGAGCTGTTTCCAACCTCCACAACTGGAAAGCTCCAAAAAATTGAGACTGGTAATGGGAAAGGGAATTGAGCAAAAATTCCCTTTCCCACTGCTAAGAAAAGTAGTGTTTACTTCCCTTTTTTATTTTCAAAACTGAGAATCAAAATCTAGTGCTTGTAATTTTAACTGCACTGCAGAAACAAAATAGGGAAAAAGGAATTATTTGGAGCCCACATTAGATAATTGGAAATGTAATAAGGGCAGCAGTTCCATAACATGTACTTATCACAAGAAAATTAAGAGATCACACGAGGGGGATGCCTGAATGAGTAAAAATTCCTCTTTAAACAGTCTCTGAGAAAAACTGTGAGGGAGAACAATTGTATTTATTTTGGCAAATCTGAGATCAGATTTTTTTTGTGTGTGTTTTATTCCCCTTGCAGATCCTGATACCGGAAAATAATTGAAATGAGCAAAGGAGATGGTAATTACTGTAAGTTTGTCTGCTACAATCTGGAAATTATAAAGTACTGCAGGTTGCTCCAGGCTATAAATCCTAACCCAAAGCCACGTGCAAAGCCTTGGAAAATTGAAATGCTGCAATTGGGTTTAACCAGCCAAAAAACCCCAGCTGCTGAGTCACTCTGACTACATAGTACATATTCTTCAACAGTTAAAGGATGTCTTGCAGCACCCAGAGGAATATACCAGAGGACTAAAAAATTATTACAGCACATGTATAAACAAGCTTTGCCAACACTTAAAAAAATCTTTGAAATTATTCATAGAATAATAAACTCATTTAGAATGGCAAAGACTCTTTAAATTATCAAGTCCAAATGTTAACCTAACACCATCAGGTCCTCTACTAAACCATCACCCTAACTACTATGCCTATTAAAAAGAAAGGAACTTATATTGAAAACGACTTTTCCTTTTTTCTTTATTTTAAAGACAAGCTGTTTACATGGCTGACAGGAATTCACTCCAATAGATGCCATCCTTGCTCCCCACAAAACTTTTGAAATTATCTTGATGGATACAAAGAATGACTAAATTCTGTTAGGTCAGCATTTGAAAAATACTAAACAAAACAATGGTATCTTTTATGCAGTTTATTTTGACACGGAAAAGTTGTAACTATTATAATTACTGTCTGAATTAGAGTACTGAATATCCAAGAAATGTGTGAAGCACAGTAATATGAGAAATGTGGCATAAAGTAGGGGAAAAAACCAAACCCATGCATCAACATCTTTCCATTTAATGTAATTTTTTTTTGGAATCTCAGTTTTCAGTGATAATCATCTTTAACTAAAGAAGACTTTATGACTTCATCGGGCTGATGAAGAAACCCAAAAAGCAATCACTAGCACCAGCTTTTTGTTTATCCATGATGCTTAACTGCTGTCATACTCTGCCATCACCTTGGTCTATGGCAGCTGCTGTGGGCCAGGGTTTGGGGGGACAGGGAGAGCAGGGTACCCACCTGAGCTGTGGGTGACACTACACCAGGTGTGACACCCTGCAGAGCATGTGACACACCAAACTGCTCAACACATTCAGTCCCTGGGACTCCTCTGTGCCCCTTCTGTGACCCAGCACTGGGCATGCACTGCTCATCCCCATGGATGTGTGGGCCAAGGGCTACACTGGATACAGCAACCAGGCTGCAACACAGCTCCTGCTCGGTCAGCACAAGCACAGCCACAGTAATCCTCTGTAGAGATTTTAATGTCTTCCCATTAAAAAAACCAAAACAAAATAAAAAGCCCAACAATTCAGCAAGTAGTACTAATTAGAGACTTGTGCATTTACAAGGGCATAGTAGTGTCCTTCCTTGGCCAGCAGCTGGCTGTGGGTGCCCTGCTCGACCACCCTGCCGTTCTGGATCACCACGATGATGTCGGCTGTCTGCACGGTGGACAGGCGATGAGCAATGACGATGCAGGTCCGACCTTGCCGGGCGTTATCCAGAGCTTTCTGGACAATCTGTCCACAGAGAACACAGGAGTAATGTTAGCATCTGAAAAGCCTTCCCCTGCCCTAGGAACTACCTTTGATTTCTCACTCTCTTATCACCTGAATACATGCCCCACAGATATACATGTCAGTGCACATGGGAGACCTTAACTCAACAGGATTTCTCACTGAGGTCAGGGAGCCTGATCAAACAAATGTGAGACATGGAGAAGTGGGTTCTTGGGCTCCCAGCTTGGGTTAGAAGACAAATTCAGTATTTCCTATCAAATACATCTGCTAGGAAGACAACTGATGCGTATCAGATCAATGTGGAGTTTTATACTTAAAGTTTCAGGTTTTTCCTACTTTTTATTCAGCAAATATAAACATCTTTCTAGTACAGTTCAATTCAAACCTTTCAGGTAGAAAAGCTACTGTGATACACCTGACTTGTTTCACAATTGAGCATTTGTAGCATGTTTGCTTTAATTTTATTCTACAGAGAGCAACTAGCCAGGTACATAGGCATAAGTATTTCACATAATAATCATTATTCACCTTTTCACTTTCAGTGTCAAGAGCAGAGGTAGCTTCATCCAGAAGCAGAACAGCAGGATTACGAACCAGAGCACGGGCAATTGCTATTCTTTGTTTTTGACCTCCAGAAAGTTGTGTCCCTTTCTCACCCACCCGTGTATTATATTTCTGGATATTAAAAAACCAAAAAAGATCACCAGTGAATACTTTTAGAGAAGGAAGATTGGAGAAATAAAATTTTTTCCTGGTTATAAAAGTTAAGCATTTTCATCTTGAAAGAAAGAATAGTGAAAGTGGTTTTAAGAAAGTTAAGGCTTTATAAACATCTCTAGTACAAGCAGTTATATATACAGCCACACATACTCATAGCCAGTCTGAAAATTTACTCCCTCAAAGCTGGAATAGGTCTTGAATGGTACCAGAAGTGAGGCATCCAAAGAGCATATGTTCATAAGATTAACTAACAATTTCATTCTTTCTGACATACTCACAAAGAATTTGAAGTTGCAATGCCTGTGAATTAAGAATCTCAAAAATTATTAGTAGTAATGAAAATTAAATATTTTTCAGCACCATTCCCTCAGTTTCAGGTACCCAGAACTACAGTGAAAACAAGCTATCAAAGAATTTTTCCTTGTTAGAACCAAATTCTTGTCAGGCATGAAGGTCAAATGCCATGCCATTCACTTTTGATTTACTACCCCTTTGTATTTATTAAGAAAGACTCTCTGTGCATATCCATTCAGTTAGAAAGAGTTCTTTATTTTACTAATTTTTTTTTAGAAAAATAAAATATCTTTATCAGAGTAACTTGCAGAGTTTCTGCTGTCAAAAGAAAAAGATAGAAAAAAAATTATTATGAGCACTTATACATAGAACATCCTCTCATTTCCCTCTACTCAACCCCCAAATATTGTGGGTTGTATACCACTGTAATTATGAAAACATTGGCTTTTTTTTAACAAAAAAAAGGATTTTAAGCTTGAAACACACCGACATTTAAAAACATAAAGGCTATTATATTAGGGAGAACAAAAGTGAGCACTGCCTTGATATCTCTATATCATTTCAAGTGTATGATCTTACTGTGAAGAGAACATCACTGTCTCTTACCTCTGGCAGCTTTTCAATGAAGGCGTGAATATTTGCTGCTTTAGCTGCTTCTTCAATTTCCTCCTGACTAACCACCCTACTGTTGTCTCCATATTGGATATTTTCAGCAATGCTGCAGTCAAACAAAATGGGCTCCTGTGACACCAGGCCCAGCCTGGACCTCAGCCATTGTAAATGCAGAGATTTGGTATCAAATCCATCTGCTAGCTAGAAAAAGCAAGAGAAACATGATGCCAAACTGGCTACTGAGCTCATCCACACATGTCTGCTGTAAACAGGAAACGTGAATTCTAAGACAAAGCCCATTATGTGTTATTTTACCAGATGTAATCAAGTAAATTTTTTGCATGCTAAATGAAAATGAACCAGCAGAATAGACAAAATGTTTTCCTGCATTAGTTTTTAATTTTGTGTTTTGCTTCCATTTGCTAGCAAGCAGAAACAACCTGCACATAACAGGTTGTTCTTGCAGTCCTTCCAGCCCTAGTGACCACAAGAAGCACCAGGAAGCTCATGGGAAATGCTGCCCCTTGCCCCTTAAGAAACTGAGCACAAAAATAAATATCCTCAGCTGTAGGACTTTCCATCTTGCAACCTCCAAAGGAGGTTTCTTTCCACTTTTTATACCCATTAACAAGGGTCGTATCCAAAAGCCCATTGGGACCTCCTGATGGTGAAACAATGACATCTATTACATTTGTGTTATCTGAAGCATGTATCTGTCTCTAATGTGTTAGTTCAATTCAGCAAGAAAACTGACACACTGACAAGCAAGATACATTAGTGTTATGCCCCTGTCTGACCAGGGTGTGAGGAGCCTTGGGGAGGAAATGCAGTCAGACCTGGTTGTTCGTTTCCCAGGCAAGATCTGTGACCTGAGGATGCACACTGTGCCAGCATGGATGCTACTGCTGCTACATGTGGGCAAATGCCCAGGGCAGGCAATGACAGGGGTTTGGGATCATCTACAGACCCACTGGAGGCACAGCCTCTAACTCACACCTCTAAAAAAAGGCATCTCAACAGAGGGACTGCCAGGCTTGTCAAAAGCCTCTGAAACCTTGGCAGATAAAGAGTTCTGTAGATCTAATTACTATTAATAGCCACACAAATCTATTCTTACCACTTGTCCTTCCACAGGGTCATAAAATCTCTCCAAGAGCTGAATGGATGTGCTTTTGCCACAGCCGCTGCTTCCTACTAATGCCAGAGTCTGTCCTTTTTTAACTTTCACATTAAGTCCTTGCAAAACCTGAACTTCTGGCCTTGTTGGATATACAAAATGGACGTTTCTGAATTCAATGTTGCCTTCAAAATGGCTCTGAAAAGGAGTAGAGAGCGCACATGCTCATATTAACATTTATTAGCATTAACTATTGAAATACTTGTTAGGACTTGGTTATTAAAGTGAGAGATCCAAGAAAGTTTGTGAAGGTGTTTTCAAAAGTGCTTTTGAAATTCTTTTAAATGACATATTGGACTGAGCATAGTATCACTAGTTATAGGATGATCTTCAAGTCACTACATCCTTCTGGAGAAGTTTTCTGCATCTCTTGTATCCATTTTTCACTTAATCTTTGAAAACAGTATCACAGAAGCACAGAATAAGCTGAGGTGGAAGGGACTCTCCAGGATCAGAGTCCAAATCCCGGCCCTGCACAGCACCATTCCCAAGAATCACACCATGTGCCTGAGAGCATTGTCCAAACAGTTCTTGGATTCTGTCAGGCTTGGTGCTGTGACAGCTTCCCTGGGGAGCCTGTTCCAGTGCTCAACCACTCTCTTAAGTGAAAAATATCCAGATTTTTCATTTCTAATACATTTAATTGAGATACTTCTTCTTGTGATATAAAATGTATCATTTGCTTTCCTGATCTTACCCTGCAGGTAGCACAATTTGAACAAATGTAACACAAGGTCAAAATCAGAGATTAAGATAGCACAGCTAAATTCTTCAGTAGGTTATTCATGAGCACAAAGGACAAGCTGTGTTTAAAAAAGCAGTGATAGTTAATTAGACGTCCTAAGCAGGTTGATATTTAAGCACAAGTGGAAGAAAGGGGGAACATGCCAAGGCTGTCCTGTTCTTTGGGGGATGAGCCAGCCCCCTGTACATGCCAGCAGCACCACTAACACGATGCTCTCACAGCAGGTAATAACCTAATTTGATGGACTCAAACATTTTCTTTGCTAAGTCATAGTCATCACTGGCATTTAAGTCCAGTCTACAATAAAAACGTTTTCATTAAAGTTTTATTTTACTGGAGACCTTCTGCCAAGTCTTTCAATGTCTGTGTCAGAGAACCCTGGTTCAAGAAAATATGCAAGCATGCTCAGAACTTTAAAGGTTGAAAATCTTGTATATAAGCTTGAAGTTATAGAAAACTGGATTATGGCTTCCTGAGTAGGAGCTACCTTCTAAACCTGCATGGGAAGTTAATTTTAAATTCAGATGAACCTGGATATGCCATTGTAATCCTTCCAGAACAAGTAAATTGAAAGCATTACATGCAGAAATTTGACAAGTGCTGAGGTCAGGCTCCTTAATGACGATTTTGGTTTAGAAGCAAGGCTCATTGGGGAATTTTTTAGTGTTTTCTGATTTTTATTTTTTATTGGTTTTTGCTTCTTGTCTTTCCTCCCCCAACTTTAGAGCAAACTAAATTATTCATTAAGCTTGTTTTGACTTCACAAGAGCATATTTTTAATTGTAAAAGTTTCCACAGATAGAATAGGATGGCTTTTGGCAAAGTGCCTGTCTGTAAAGGAACTAATCTCTCTTATTTACATAATAATTAGAAAAATGCATTAGTACTTTATTTCTCCTATAAACTCTTACAAAGACAACAAAACTTTTATTGGAAGTGACATTATCAGTGTTTTCCTGAAGCCATTTACACTGAGTCAGTAGAATGAAAAGGATTTTTTTTAATAATTTAGAGAAAAACTACCTTAAAGGCCATGCAATTTTGTCTGAAACCCAGAAATAATATGGTCCCTAAATAATGTTTATATAGTGTCTGTATTTTGACAGAACCATAGAACGGTTTGGATTGGATGGGGCCTTAAAGAACATCTAGTTCCAACCCCCCTGCCATGGGCGGGGACACCTTTCACTGGACCAGATTGCTCAGAGATCCATCCAGCCTGGCCTTGAACACCTCCAGGGATGGGATATCCACAACTTCTCTGGGCAACTCATCCCATCCTCACAGGAAAGAATTAATTTCTAGTATCTCATCTGAGTCTACTCTCTTTCAGTCTGAAGCCATTCCTCCTTGTACCATCACTGCATGCTCTTGTAACAAGTCCCTCTCCATCTTTCTTGTAGGCTCCTTTCAGGTCACAATTAGGCCATCCTAATTCAGCATCCTTCTGTGACACTCTAAGGTACCTTTTCCTTAGAGTGTCACAAAAGGTGCCTATTTCTTAGGGTGCCACCTGCGAATACAATTGCTGACAATAATTACTAATTTAGTTTGTTACAACATTTTTTCCTGTGAAAAAAGAACACTCCTTCCAAAAAAATACGCCCAAAACCCCAAAGAAACAGATCTCCAATATCCTGCCAAGCTCCCATGCAAAATAACACCAACCCTTACCAATTTTTCACCTTGTTCACTGTAACTGTCAATTAGAGGTTTTCTGTCCAAAAGCTGAAAAATTCTTTGAGCTGACATTCGAGCTTTGCCATAGTCTGGTGCCATAGAAGAAGACTGCCCAACATTCATAGCTGCAAATATGACAGAAGAGAAGACTCTAAAAAGCAAAGGACAAAGCGTGATTCATTCCAGGTGGAACAATGCATTCGCTTCCCACTGCATAAAACATACCTTCAGAATAAAGCTTGTCAGCATCTTTGGGTTATGATGTTTCTGGAGTCCCTCATACCCCAAGATGTCATCCAGTACTTGGAAGGTCAGCTTGCTCCCATAGCTACTTTATAGCTGGACAGCAGTATCATATCACTTTTCTTTTTAACACTCTCTGCCTGGAAGGGACATCAAAGGGCAAAGGCTTCTCCAAAGTAGATGTGCTGAGCTTGCTCACTTTTGCTGTTTCACTGCCCAAAGGAGCACCTTTCCCCAAAACAGCCCTTATGCCCAAAGAAAACTTTTAACCAGACTGAGTTCCTGGATTCCCATGCCCCATTACCTCTGTAATTTGATAAAATAATTTGCATGCATTGAAATCACTACACTGCGTACTAATTTTGATCTTTTTTTATGTTTTATAAAGTATACTCACATAAAGACATTTTCAAAGTTGGTCAGACAATTAGCAATGAGCCATGCTCCAAATCTGAAGACTGCTGCATTAATAAAGTACTCTGAACATTGAGCTATTCCATAGGTAAATCCATAGAAAGGAGCTTTTCTCAGAGATTTTCTGATAAAAGAAGAGACTTTCCATAAATTACTTGTAAAAGAGAAACAACAGACACTGGCTGGGGGATAGCCAGACTTCTGGAATAAAGTCTTCAAGCAATCCAGCTCAATCCCCCAAAACCACAACAAATCAGCCCAGAACACACAACTCACAAATAATCCTTGCCAGACCCGAGGAGCCCCTGGCTTCAGGACATAGAACCACCCTTAGGACAGAAAGCAATGAAAACCTTGATCCTCATTCATGTTAAATTGAATACCCTTCCTTTGCTTTGATAGCAGGACAGGTCACTAGAGCAGTTAGTTAAAATGAAATAAGTTAATAACTACCCCATATGACCCATTTTATGAAGAAAACAATTAGGCTTAAGCCTGGCCTGAGAGATGCCTGCAGGCTTCCACCAGCTCATCCCATCTGAGCAGAGCACAGACACATTGCTGGGTATCCCCACTAGAATTCAGACTATGCCACTATTTCTCAATCTATCCCTCTGGAAGGGTTTCATTTTGTGTAGCTAATTGAACACACACCAACTAAGAATCTGGTGAACTCTTTATCCTCATTGTTTAGGATGCTCTCAGAGGAAGAGGAAATCTCCTTTCTAGTTTGAGCTGTAAATCAGACCTGTGACAGTCCAAACAAGCACCCTGCCCAAATATGGGCTCTTAGCAGTTCACCAGACATTGAATTTTAACACTATTTTGGTTGAGGACAGATTGTGCAATACATCACTTTCAATTCCTTCTTTTACATTAGAAGCAATTTAGATTTTGGGCTATTTTATTTAAATAAAATGGAGCTAGAAACATCTGGCAACTGTAGTGATTCAAATGCATTTCAGCAGAGAAAAGCCAGTGGGATGTAGTGGATCAAATAAGGGAAATGTATGAAGTTCTTTCCAAGGTTTCAAAGTCATGTGAGGGGAATAAAACTTGTTTATGCTATAAAGGGTGTGGTTGAACTGTCAGTTCCTAAGTTAAGTAGCATCAGTGCAATACACTGACATGGAATGAACTATATCCTATATTGTAAGCAAACACAATGTTCTGTAACACATATGCAGAGAATGCAGCTTCTAAAGTGTTTGCATAATAAAAGACAAATCCTGCAAATGTTTTTTTCACTCTACACTTAATAATGTATATTAAAATATAGAGATTATGCAAATTCCAAAGCTATATGAACAACTATTGATATTCTTTCCAGTCTTTTGGGTATTGGCTAGGTTCCAAGAAAGGTATTTACAGTAAATCTGAAAGACTAAAGTGCACTGTAAAGAAAAAAAACCCACCTATATGTATGATTCAAACAAGCAGCATATCTTTCATAAAATGCTTCTTCCTTGGTTAGTGAAGCTACAGTTCTTATGTTTTCAACGGATTCTGTTGAAATCTAAACAAAGAGATTAAAAAAATAAGAGATAATCTCTTACAACTGCAATCTGCAAGATATCTTCTGAACACTTGATTTCTTTTCTAGCATTTATTATTTTAGATCAGAATGTGCTTGTTTAAGAGTAGTGATGAAGATGAAGGAAAGTCCTAAGCAATGAAAGTATTCATCAGCAGTGTCTTTCCTAACCATGGGTTGTGCCCCTCATGAATTAAATCAAATTTAATAAAATGGGGACAAGCACTAGTAATCTGGACACATCTTGCTCTTTTGCATAGACTACTTCTGTCTCCTAGAAGAGCACTATCAGGTGAGTGAAGGCAGCACCCTGAAACTCTTGAGCACATTAATGGCTTGCCTTTATTACAGAATAGGAAGGTATCAATGCTGCAACACTTCTGGCTGCAGCAGAGCAGTGCAGAGCCACATTTCTCACCCTAGGCACCAGTGCTGGGGCTGCTTCTGCTGCAGCTGCCCCTGTCCAGAAATCCACTATGGAGGCTTTCAAATGCATTTCTATATTCTAATTTGCAGATGGTTTGTGTTATCTGCATTTTGCTTTTCTTGAAGATATATAAATATTCCTCTCAACACCCTTCATTTATCTTGGACAATTGAGTCAGCTATAGTATAACTACAGTGTTGTTCTTAAAAGTGATCTCACACAGAACTCTATAGTTAAAACTGAAGAACTTACTCTTCCAGCCTCTTCCAAAGCTTTTTGGTCTTCTGCAGCATGACCAGACATAGAGCTGGCACTCACAGCATTTGCACCAACAATAAAAGGAATGCAGGCCAGGATAAGCAAAGTTAGCTGCCAGCCGTATGCAAATGCAATAATGATGGCAGTCACAAGGGTAAAGACAGTCATAGTCATCAGTGCAAGTCGGCTTCCAGTTGCCTAAGAAAACCCCAGAAACCCCCCAAATATATGTAATAAGATTTTTAAATTTTGTTGCTTAAATTACAACTTCAAATTGCGGTAATCAAGGCCAAAGGTTTGGCTGGAAAATGAAGCCATGTGCAATCACATGTGTGGGCATTATGCACCAACTTCTGTCACCATTCCTAGAGATTCCTCACACCTGCCAGCATTCAGGCCTTCAAGAGGTATTAATGTAGTCTAGAGAGATGGACATGACAGTTGTTTAATGAAATGTATCTGGGACTTCACACTCTACCCAAGTTAGAGAAAATTGTGACCACTGTGAGAGTAGGGCGAGTCGGCAGTTCGATGTTCCAGCAGTAGGCGACAGTGGCTTGGTTCTAACAGCAGCCAGCCACTGAGACCCTCCACACTAACAGTGGTGAAAAATATTCGTCTTCAGCTTCTTACATTGCTGCACTTGAGGTTGTGTTCTTAGAGAAAAGAAATCTGAATTTGGCCACCCTGCAGAAATGTTTTATCTCAGTGGGATAATGAGTAGGAAAAACTAACTCTGACTGAAGAATTTTCACCTCCTCCCAGCCTACATAACCTTTTCACCAAAAACTTTTCTAAATGAGAGTTGATTAGCATCCAGCATCCGGGTGGGCTCTGATCTACAGAAAGAACTGCAAATAGTCCTGTGGAAATAGTTCATCTTCCAGACCTTGGCGTGGTGGTAAAAACAAAACCTCTTGGGTGGGAAGCAAGTAGTCTTCCTTCTTTTGCCAAAGGGTTTCCTGCCCTGAAAAGACGTTTCTTGTTCCATAAATTTAAAATATTAATAATTAAACCAATGCCAAGGTGAATTGTTGCCATATGTTCTAGGGGTTGCACATAAAGATGTCTGGTACTCCAGGCATCATTATAGCTCTGGAGATCCATTCATGCCTTAGTTGTTTTTTGTAGTTAGGGAGCTGTGTGCACCCCCCCTTCTTTTTACTGCCCTGACAGGATGATAGACTTCATTCCCGCTGAAGCAAACAAACTTTAAAAGGCAAAGATGACCAAATTTTGTCAAAGACTATTTCATCCTTGCAAGCCCATAATGAAGGAGGGCTGGAGAGAAACAAAAACCTATGAAGACTGAAAAATATAGGGATTAAAGGATTAGTGATGTACAAATATGAAGGGGAAAAAATACATTAGTAAACCTTCCCCTACAAGTCCTGCAGTGATTTGCTTTTCCCCACAAAGAGACAGAAAGAAACAGAAATCTTTGGCAGATTGTCAGGTTCTGTGGGTGCGATGAGAAGTTGAAGGAACTGTGCAGAATTTGCCATATTCTCTCACCAGTGTCCAGTGGCTACCTCTCTTATATCAGCTTCTTGAGTAGTTCCCCTCCTTGGCCATTGCCCTCCATGGCACTTTTAAATTGTGCTGGTCTATTTCTTACTGTTTGTGAAGCACATTTTGTGGCAATGGGAAGAAGAATTCTCTTCATTCACCTTCAGGTGAGTAAGGGTTTGTATCCTCCGCAGATGCAACCTCTTTGTGGCATTCGGGGGACACTCATAAGATGGTGTAAAAACCTAGGGTCCAGTGACTGTGGTGCAAGCAAATATGAAGATTTCACTTTGCACAGTGAAATGCTCTACAGTTATTATATATTTAGCTTAAAGCCTTGCAGGGAGGTACATGAAAGGTACATGAACATCAGCTGGATTTTTGATAGTTGTAAATTATCAGCTGAGAAACCATTTCCAATGTTTCTGTAGCATGCTGTGTAAAGGCATCTACCAGTCTGTGGAGTAGATTTCCTACTTTGTTTTCTGAAATAGTCTTGGATTTCCTTGCCAATTGCAATTAATATTTGTAAGAAAAAAGATATTTGAAAAATACACATAAAAGAATCAACATACGCCTTTAACTTGGGAAGCATCTGTAGCAAGACGAGTTAGTAGAACACCAACAGCATTTTTCTGGTCATCATACCATCCAATCTCCTGCAAGAAAAGATATTGATTTTTGTTTCAAAAAATTACCTGAAAGTACAAAACAGGATGTCTAACTGAATATTCTCTCTGTGTAGTCAGCATTTCCAAATAAATGAAAAGAAAAAGCTTAAAAAATATTATTATTTTGTGGACATCTAATTGTTTGTAATCAAGGTGTTCTTGGCTATGATGTTTTCCTGGACATGTCTATTTAGAAACTTTTATTATAGCCCTCATTTATTTAGACATTCCTTGGTCCTGAAGAGGTTAACTATTCTTTTACAAATTACCTCTCCCATCAGCTACAGAAACATAGAATATCCTGAGTTGGAAGGGACTCACAAGGATTTGTACATACAGAAAGGAAAGGAAGATTTTTTTCTTTGCAAAGGCTATGGTAGGGTTCTTTTTTCTTCCAATCACCAATTTACTGGTCCCTTTCAGATGTTTCTACAAACACACAGGTTCTTGTCCACACCCATTTCCCTCCTCTCCATTTTATCCTAACTGCCTAATTCATACCTGCTGAAGTAATGCTCTGAAGGACAAAGAGCGCAGTCTCATTGTTAGGGTTTCTCCAGACTTCCCAAACATGAATCCCTGGAGGAGGTAAACCAGTCACATTTTCTCATCTGATGCTGTAACTGTTTATTAATCTGCTCAACAAAAGTAATCACACCAAGAAGCTCAACAAAAGCCATCACACATACAACCCCCTGTGAATATATATGTCCTGGGAAAAGCATCATTCACACTCCTGAACCTGAAACTTGATTTTCTCACAGGAAGGAAGCAACATAGCAAGGAAGGCATCTATATATTACACACTTGAATCACAACTACCAAGCAAAGGGAGATTAAACTTTTCTGGTCAATCTTGCACACACAGACAGCAACACTACAATATAAATCAACCTGTCTAGTGATTGGCTTCGCTATCCTGACTGTGACCAGAAACATTCACTCACAGCAGTCATTCCGATGGATTTTTATGATGTGGACATCAGAGAGCATGCAGTGCTTTCTGCAAGCTTTAAGAGTGCAGGAAATTATGGAATTTACTTGATGGTTTGAAAAGCACTGTCTGCAATGGAAAGAGTGACTCTGTTTTATACTTACTTTGGCAAGAGCCTATAGACTAGTCAGTGAGAAATATCAGTATTAACTTTGACTTTTAAGGCCAGACCCTCAACTTTGATTTCAATCATGTTGAATTAACATTTCCTTCAGTGGATTATTTAAACCAAGAGCAAATACAGACCCATGTCTTTACGTAAACATTAAAGCTATGTATCTCAGGAAGACCCTGGCACTTGTGCATATTTTTGTAAACTATGATTGGCTTTTTACTTCTCAGATTGTGTTGATACAAGTTATACCTGCAGCCTGCTGGAAAGGTCAGAGCTTTTAAGATTTCAGTGTAGTGACACTTACTTGGATTATGTACGCTGCTAAGATAATCACTCCAAGCAAAAGAAATATTAAAGAAAGTAATACAGTGTTTTTACTCCTTTTTTCTGGATCTCTTTCTTGAAAAGCCTATGAAAAGAAAAAACCCACAAAAATGAGTACATAGACAAGCATCCATTACATGAGCCAGCCTTCACCTCAAGAAGCTTGTCTGCCTATTTTAATTTCTTTTAGCAAGTATCCTGGATTCTAAAATCAGTCTGCAGTCAACTTTCTTTTGAGGACCCAGCAAATAATCCAACTTTCTGTTTAACCTACATTGTATTAATTTGTTCTCCCAGATCCATCAATGTTCCTCCTTTCCTCCACTAGTCAGGTGCAGTTCCACCATCCTCTGCTTCTAGAGAGACCCTTCAACATTTTTCAATGGATGTATTTATACAAGCTAATCCCACTCAGAGACTTACATGGAAAGAAGTGAGTGGTTGATCATGAAGAAAGCTCAGGACTGCAACTTCCAGTTGCAAAAAAACCCCCACCCAAACAAAATTAAAAAAAAAACAAACAAAAACCACTCCCCCTCAAAAAACCCCAAAGAAATAAACAAAACAAAACAACAACCAAAAAAAAAAAAAAAAAAAAAAATCAAAACCCAAAAAAACTTACCCCAATGATTTTTCCAAATATAACAGCAAATGCAGGATGGACTGCACCTATGACAGCAGCAGCAATCACTCCCAGCAGTACATAGAACCATTCAGGTTTGTTCAGAGCCAAGATTTTTAAGTAAGGCACAGCAGGGAGATTTTCTTCCTACAGGAAAAAGTTGTAAGTTTTCCTTGGAAAGTCAGAGAACATAAAGTTCTTCAGACAGTGGGTGTTCATTAGGCCTTGAGCAGTGAACTGTTTTGGTAAAATGCTGAAAGCACTCTCTGTGCACTCAGATCAAGCAAACATGCTGGAGATTTGCTGCTTTGCTGTTTCATGTCCTAGAACATGAACTGCACTGTAAAAATGTGTAGGCAAAAAACTTAACAAAAGGCTAAGTCATGAGGGGAGAGGGGCCAGGACAGTTCACTGAAAGTTAGATAGGACTGGTCACCATGAATGGCAACTAATATTTCAATCATTATAAAGAACTGAACATCTCACAGTTCAGAGGACAGAAGAGACCCCTCCAGTTCAGCTAAATGCTAGTGGGCTGGCAGTAGAGCAATTGGGTAGAGAGGTCATTTTCACTCTTTGGCAAACTCTATCCAATGTATCATTACCAAAGCCAGGAATGAGGCATTTGTGAGAGTCGGTTAGCCTATTTGTGCTTTCAAGGCACAAAAAATGTTCTGTCTTGCTTTACCACTTTATTTAAGTGCTTATGCCTCCAAAGGGATATTTCTGGAAAAGTAAATAATGAAAGCATCAGAAATGAGGCAAAATATTAGTCAGGATTAAAAGCAATTTGCTCTTGCTCCCTGGTTACTTTATCCTGCTTTTTAGATGCTGAATGAAGGTAGCTAAATCTCAATTATAAAAGTGGGCTGATTTTTTTCTGCAATAATTACAATTTCTAGATGTTTGACTTCATTTTTTCTGAATGTGATGAATATTGTGTTCTTGAGCATGAACACCCACTACTTCCTCTTAAGCAGTATTAATATACAACCAAAAAGTATCTTTTGAGGTTATATGACATTTTATATGATAATGGGAATGGGTCCAGCTAGTTCTTGCTATTTGAAATATTCATTAGCTGGAAGATGAATTTTAGAGAGGAGGAAAATCTACAGATAAAATCATACTAAGGATTTCATAATTATTAAATATTTATTACAGATGAGATCCTAACTTCCACAGACTTCGAAGAATTAATGGTTTTACTTCAGAATTTAGATTTTAGTTCTTCACTTCAAAGGTCTTGAAATCAGGCAAAAACCCTCAAAACCTAAACAAAAAAATGCAAGCAACCTTAATATAGCAAATCACTCTTCCAATATGTTTCATGAAAAAGTACTACAAAATTGAAAACAAAATCAAGTTTCTGTTGAACTGCTCATCTTGTGTATTCCAGAATGCACTAGAAATCTGCTCTTTTTGATGCTATGAGCAAGTTTTATTCAACTTTGAAATAAAATAATTTTTCTTAACCCTACATAACCCTACAAACTTCTGACATGACTTTTATTGATTATGTCAATCAAGTTGTTTTATCTGCAAAAACCCTGCAAAACTGAAGCATATACTAAACCAGAAAGATTAACATCTCTTTTAATGGAAATGCTCTTCAAAATGTCAGGGGTTCGATTCTTTTTTGTTTTTTGCTTGACATAAATGTAGTATGATACTCGAAAGTGCCTTCAATTTGAGCATGCACACTCCAGGGATTATATTATCCAGCAATATTTGCAACAGTAAGTACCAGGGAGTAAAGAATCTTGCAAATAAAATCACATAACTAGTTTCAATTAGATAGAATTAAAATAAAGAATTAAAAAAAAAATCTGTACCACTGAAATAATTCTCTTAAATTGTACAAAGAAATGTACAAACCAATAGCAGATTTTTCAAGTTCCACATTAACTCAGTAGCATTAAAATGAAGATCTTTGTTAAGACAAATCATCCTCAGTCTGGTGAGTACTGACTGCAATAGTACCTGAGTAAAGGTTGCATAAAAGACACCTATCTAAATGTAATCCAAGTTATGTGGCTTTTGTTTAGGCTTATATCTTATAATTAAAATTCTAAACTGAAGTTCTAATACCAACCTCCACCTCCTTTTGTTTCTTCTTTTTTCCAAAGGGATTTTTAGATGAACTCCTCTTGCTCTTATATCGGCTGGATCTTCTTCGTATGCTGCCTTTCTCTGGTATCACAGAGATTTCAAAATTATTTTGAAGAGTCAACTCTTCCACAGGATTTATGTTTTCCTCATATTCCTCAGCTCCTGAGCCTTCACTATCTTCTGATGTGCCATCATCTTGAACATCACTGGTGCAACCCTAGCGAGAATTCAGGATATACATTTACAAGGCATTTTGACTAGAAAGAAACACTTTTTTTTTCTCCTGAATACTGCTGTTTCAATTGTGTAACTGTAGTTGTCTATAGGCCACATATATTTCAGTCTGCAATTGCAGAGCAGTAGACTATTTGATTCTGATTTTGTCCCCCTCTTTTCCTTTAAAGCCATCTATGGAATCCACCTGGAACCTAACACCTCTATGGTTATGCATAATGATGTAGTCTGTGCCTTAAACTCACTTATGTTTTTGTCATAGTGGATTACATAAATATGAAACACTTATGGGTAAAACCTCCAAGAATTCCAAGCCTGTGTCAGTGCCCAGACTAGAATAACTGAGCAGCTGCCAGCTGGATAACATGCAGGAACTAGAGAGAAAATAACTCCACCAACCATTTGAGAACTTTGTGAAATGGAGAAAGAAAGTAAATAAATTTGCCTTTACCTGCTGCATTACAAGGGAATAGTAGACTCCTTTCTGCAGCATCAGTTCACTATGTGTCCCTTGCTCAACCACGACACCTTTCTCAAATCCAGCGATAGTGTCAGCAGTCCTGATGGTAGACAGTCTGTGAGCAATCACAATGGTGGTACGCCCAGCCCGAGCCTACACAAACACACAAAACCCAGTTACAGTTAAGCTGTGCAAGAAAATAGCACAGAAATAAAGTTATTTTAGTCACCTGTAATATAGAGTAAATTGAAACTTTAAAAATACTTTTCTTTCTTTTAAAAGGAAAGATTGCTATTTTTTCCTGGCTTCGTGTCCTTGTTTAGTTCAAGGACAGTTTCATTTGACTAATTTAGATAGAGAAAGCCACATTAGTTTTTTTGACAGGCAACAAGTACTAAAGACCATAATTAAAGTTTATTTATTATTTGACTTTTATAATATTTGAACTGTTTGATCTAAAGTTGCTCACAAAGTGTTTCCATGTGCACCTAAGCATGATGGGGAAATGCTGTAAGAATTGTTAGAACTTTCTGAAAACAAAGCTAGGATAACAAATATGTAAAGAGCAGATATTTTCTCTGTCCCTGCAAATTTTTGGAAGTACAACATCAGCATAATTTCTGACAAGACTTAGCAGGAAAGCACAGAGGAGCAAATTTACATCAAAAATGGGTTTGAGCCACTCCCTTCCGAAACAAACTTATTTGACAGTAATCGTACTGGGATTTGGCAGGAATAGCTGCTGAATTCTCAGTCAGCAGGTTACATGTTCCACCCCTCTCCAGCATCCTCACACAGACCAGAGGCACACACAGCCCCCATGCAGCAAATGAGCACAGGACACCTTGTGACTGCTGGAGAAGCTGGCTTCCCTCCACCCTAATGCCTGGAGCAGATGGCAGCTTGGCAGGAGGAGAGGTCCAAAGGAACCTCATGCAACAAGTATGTTCTGTGAACCTGGAACCTGCTGGAAGTTTCTTGCTACAGAAGTTGTACATCATACAGGCACAGGAACAGGGGCATGAAGATAATGAGGCCATCTGCAGTAGAGGACTGCTACCATGGAGGTTTGAATTCTTCCCCCTACACCAGCCATTCTCATGGCCCTGATGCAAGTCACTCCCAGGAAGTTTGCCACAGCGCAGTTTTTATGCCTCTGGCCTAACACACAAAGCCTCACCACGGCAGCTGGGAGCTGTGATGAGAACTAGCAAAATGCTTTATAGGGTGCAAAGTTATCTAAAAACAGCTGGCTACAAGGAGCTGCACATGAATGCCTTGAAACTGTGAGCGTTCATGAGGTTAGCATCTCTGCTCCTCAGCTGTAAAAATAATGAACAATAGTAGCACCACTTTTTCCACTCAGGGATGTTGAAATGAAATTTGGAAATCTCATTAGGGGACTACACTGATGGACATGAAAATGCTGTGAAAACATGACTAAGTTATGATTCAGGGCTCATTTTGGTGTGTTCTGAGAATATGAAGAAGGATGAGAAAGAGTTCACTTAATTGAGTGACCTCCCTCTGTTATGCACTCAATGAAACATTAAGCTTCTGGAAGAGCTAAGTACTTGGTTACAAAATTAAAAAAAAACCAAACAAACAAAAAACAAAACCAAAGCATGCAGAAGAAAGATAATATTAATATTATTTTTGCATTCTACATGTTACCTCAATATTAATCACCAGAATTACAAGACTATAACAAAGAGCTGCACTCTACCTCAGATTTAAACTCACTAGCAAGTGAAGATGACAAATTCTGTGTTTCCCTTGAGCCGTAATGGTAATTTGTCTTTCTCTGCATAACTACTGAAATGAAAGGCAGGATTTTTCACCTAATTTAAAAAAAATATATTAAAATAAATATTAGACAAAAGAAAAAATATTCAAGCCAAAGCATGAAGTTCCTTTTCAATCAAAGCCTATGGGTTCTACTGTATGTTGATGGAAACAGATGAAGAAGTGGACTGTGAGGAAGGTACTGTGTGCTGGTCAGAGACATGGGTACAAGATCTGACAGCTCTGCTCTGCAGCAGCACCCACCCTAGAGCTGTGGGGCTGCTAAAAGCAGGAAAAAAATGAAAATGGCTAAATTTCAAGAGTTTTCTTAAAATTTTGAAGCAACTATCCAATAAAGAACAAATACTAGGGATACCAATAACATATACTTTTCTAGTAATCCACCTGGAAAAGGCCATTCTGTCCTCATAACATGCCTTGATAAGATGCCATCAATGTTTTATCAGCAAATGAACAATTATGATTTGAGAAAGGGAGTGCAAGAGACCTAAGTTACAGTTCCACATGACTAAGTGTCTTCATAATTATTAATAATGCAAAACCAAAACCCCTAAAAATCACACCCAATTTTCAAATAAATTTTTGATGGTTCAAACTCCTTGTTAAAACACTGAAATTGAGCATCCATCCAAATTTCATTTTCCAGTGTTCTGGATTCTGATGGAAGCCTGCACTGAAAATTGTACATTAAGTTTCCTTAAGTGCTTGTTGCTGTTTTTCATGGCAGCTGCTAGCTTCAGTGAGTCCTACCTTATCCAGAGCTGCCTGCACTATGGATTCACTCTGAGTATCTAATGCAGATGTAGCTTCATCCAGAAGAAGAATCTTGGGATTTCTTGCTAGGGCACGGGCAATAGCTATTCGTTGCTTCTGTCCTCCACTCAGCTGAGCCCCTCTTTCACCCACCATGGTGTTAAATTTCTGATAAAGGAGACAACAGAACAGAAGTTGTGAGACACCTCAAATCCTCACTTCTCAGTGCAACCCTAAGTACTCATCTTCTGGAAGATGTAGCTTCTTCCAGCTGACTTGAGCACAGGCAGAGCAAACATGGAAGGACGTCCATCCAACCAGCCCTTAGCCAAACCCTCCTACCCCACATATTGTGCCTGCCTAACTTTGAACTTATGGTTCTTTAAAGATCTTTATTGCTCACTCAGTGCTCCAAACCCTGGGGTTTCTCAAAGCAAGCCTGTAAAAGGGATCTCTATATTTTCTGAGGATTGCCTACCTTTCCAAAAGGGTTGGAATTATAGGGACACGTCAATAGTGTGCCTCCTCCTTGGAGCTTTGGCTTAGTTCCTACTGACCATATCACTTACTGCAAAGTCATAAGTCTCAAAGTCCACTCTAGTTTTTTTATTACATAGCTATTTAAGAGTAAATATGAACAAATCTCTCTTCCTGAGAACAAGAAACCTTGGAACAGATTAATATGTTTGAAATGGCACATGCTTGGGAGATGGGGCCAACCTCTCTAAAGTAGTAAAAGGATTTGAAATCAAATTCCAGGTGGGCACTTTTCCCATGTTTTTTAATTTCAGGAGCAAAGACAAAGACATATTAGCCATTTATGAGGATGTGTTTAGAATTCTTGACCTTGCTTCTCAGTCTCATCCTGAAAGGAGTAAGGCACCTACTGCTAAGAGATGGCTCAAAGCTGTGAATCTCAGGCAGAGGAAGAGTTTTGTAGCTGCTAAAAGGGCATAATTATTTACTTCAGGTCATATTTATTTACCTCCACCCACTCCCTGCTATTTCCTGTGAATGTACAGACAGCTCCTGACAAAGGGCTCTGGATTTCTGGTTCTTCTTTTTAAAAACCAACTCTTCTATGCCTCACGGGATGGGTAGGGATGGCAATACAGCTGTGAAGCTTCCTTTCTCCTGAGTTAAGGCACTGACATTTTTTCCCAGACTCCAGTACAAGTCCTTTGAGAGCAACCAAATACACAATCTCTAGTAGAAAAACTCTCTAAACTGAAAGCTGCTTGAGGCAATAAGTATATTTTGAGAAGTTGTAATATAACTTTGATTCCCATGCTCTGCCTCTCAGAAACAGGACACCAGCCTAAACAGACCTTTCGTTCTTACACTCAAAGTGAGTTCAGGAACTTACATCAGGCAGTCTAGATATAAAGTCAAAAGCATTGGCTTCCTTGGCTGCTTGCTCAATTTCAGCATCAGAAATGTCTTCTCTGCCATAGCGAATGTTCTCAGCTATTGTGGTTGCAAACAAAACAGGCTCTTGGCTCACAATGCCAATATTTTCTCGTAGCCACTTTATATTAAGGGTCCGAATATCCCGACCATCTAAGGTAATCTGAGAGGAAAAGAATGTCAAAGAAATCAAGGAAATTCACTCTGTTCATAATAAAGCAATTAATTACTCTTACTTGAATGAAGTATCAGCCACAAGGTCAAGAAAAAAAAATGTCTTTAATAGAGAGCTATGTTGGGGGAGAAGCTACAATTGCAGTTTTTCCATTTGTTGCACAAGATGGAAAATTGTGATGAGTGGCATAAACAGAGAAGACATCAGGGGCTTTTTTCCCCCCCTGTTTGTTATCCCCCAATAACCATCATGTCTGAGTTGGCTTAAGAATTTCACAGCTTCCTTGCACACTTTTTACATGATTCTCGTGCCCCTATGCCAGTTTGATGTCCTCATAGTTGCGGCTACACAATCATCTCTGTGGCTGTGCATAACACCAGATCAAAGAGAGTTCAAATGACTAAAAGGAAAGGGAAAGTTATTTTTAACCTAGGTAATTTGCAGTGTGGTACTATGAACATTGGCATTGACACAGCAAAATGAGGCATGGGGGCAGGAATGAACAGCCACAGGAAAACTAAGTTTAAGAAAGAGCTGTACTGAAAACAGCTGCCTTGATACCTTAAATACTGATAGTTCAATTTTTAATATTTGAAATGTTTACCTACTTTCAACTAGCAGTGGTAACTATTAAGTAGCATCCTTCAAATATCAAATTTTCTTAAAAATACATTGTTTCATTTACCTCATTTTTTTCCTTTGGAAATTTCATGTGGGACATATTTACCATTTAACAACTGGATTTAGTGTTTAGTGGTAAAACACATACAATGCTTAATGATGGAAACATCTGTGGGCTAGCAGATAGTGAAAAGCAGGCCAAGAAATCAACCATTTAAAATAGGAAAACTCTCTCCAGGTTTTAGCTTACATTCAATGAAAAGGAAGCAAAATACAGCAGGACTCTTTTGGATTATGCTTTGCCTAAAAATGTTTAGGGAATTTTAAAAATGAACAGTTGATAATTAATTTAAATTCAGATTTTGCAAGTCTACTCCAAAACTTGTGGCATTTGCTATTTGTGATGTAGTACTGTAAGAAGGAGGAGAATAATGAACTCAAGCTAACAAGAGAAGATAGTTCATTTGAAATGTAAATTGTGGAAATATGAACTATACAGATATATGGTGTAATTCAGTCAAATTAGAAAACAAGGTTCAGTCAATGTGGGAAATTCATGCATGTCCTAATAGTTCTGAGCTTTTACAATTCCTTTGCGGACACTCACTTCTCCCTGGTCAGGATCATAGAATCTCTGCAGCAACTGAACAGTAGTGCTTTTTCCACAGCCACTGGCACCTACTAAAGCAATGGTCTTCCCAGTTTGAACTTTCAAGTTTAGACCTTTGAGGATCTGCAAATAAATAAAAAAAAAATAGATATATATCTTAGTTTAACAAGTTTGAATAAAGAACAGTCTGTCAAGGTAAGTGTAGCTGTTTCTATCAAGGCAGTAGTGAGGGCCATAGTTTAAAGGTATGGTAACATTAATAATATAATTGTATAATTGACAACAATAATATAATGTACCTGGGAATATCCTGGAGCACTGATAGGAAAAAGTCTTCACCTATGCTTGTAAAATGTATTAGCCTTTGAAAGAGGATAGCTGCTTGCAACCTGCCTTTTGGGAACGGCCCCTAGATCCTTCTGGCTACCAAAACAAGCCTGGGAATTTTTTGAGAAGATTGATAATTGGAACAGGCCAAGTTCATGCCAAGAAACATTTCAAGAGTTCCCTTGCATAGACTATTGCATTCCATTGCCTGGGAAAATTCCCCAGCACAGTCAAACTAATATAGACACAGCCATATTACTCAACTTCATAGCTAATTTTCTCCAATTTGTGTGATCTAGTAGCAGGCTTAGGGTTTTAAATTATCCTGCTGTCCTCCATTTTCCAGAGCGTAATAATTATGAATCTCACAGAAAATTATTTTCAGGTGCTAAAAGGTATCACTGAAAACCAAGCCTGCTTTCTTCTATTTTTAAAATATAAATGGCTGTTTTGACAAAGTAATTGCTGGGAAGCCCTTAATAAGTCCCATTCCTTATTTTTAACAACCTCAGCAATGTGGAGAGTAGCTGCAGTTAATGATATAATTTTTGTTATTTTCACATTTAGAGAACATTTTACCTCAAAAGATGCCCATGTCATTACAAGTAATGCTGTGTAGTTGCCAAAATATTTGGCTGCTATGGGAACTCTTCTTGTTTATACCAGGCTGATTTATAAGTTTGCCTACACATGTTTTTGCAATGAGAGATTAAAATAGTCGCAATATTCCTCTCCTCTCCCTGTATTACATCCACCCAGTTTTACATCTCCAGGAAGCTGATATCCTGGTGCCTGCATTATCAAGAATGAACTTTATTCTAGATACCACAACATTTCCAGATGCAACTAATTACTACCGCACACTAGGCTAGTTCTAACTCTCTTTCATCAGGCAGGTTATTGCCAAGATTATACTAATAGAAACTGTACTCAGATCTCTTTGATTTGGTTTAACCTGGACAGGGAAGATTATGTGTTGCATCAATTGCTTGAGAGATTAGGGGTAACTTCTACACAGCTTTGCTGACTCCTTTGGCTCTACTAAATAACATTGATGTTCTTAGTAGGGAGAGCTGTTAACTCAGATTTGGGAAGGATGAGAAATATTTCTTATTTCCCTCCAATTTGGTGTGTTGACCCACAACATAGCTCAGCAGCCTGAATAGGATTTTTAGGAAGAAGGATGAGGACTCTGCTCTGTGCCTTCTGATTTCTGAGCCAAGAAGGATAGAAGATGCATTGTACAAAATCCAGTTAAGGAGAAGGCCCCGGTCTGAATCTGCCCTCCAGATATCCCAGTGTCCTGGAAACAGATTTGATGCACAATGGGACAGACCTCAGATGACTGAGTTGGGAACAGCCACCTGAAAAAATAGCCAGAGAGGTATAAACATTCCCATGTTCACCACTAAATTAGCATGTCAAGTTTTTAATTGTTGACATTTGAAATCTCTATTTCCACCTTGTTCTTCACCGAGGAAGAAAGGAATTTGCTGCTGTTCTTTTTCTTTCACTTTCATCAAGGTGTTTAAAAGATTGTAAGCAAATACTGTAAGCAGAGAGGTCAAACCAAGAGTGTCACCACAAAAGTAATCACCATGACATGATGGACACAGGTCACTAATGGAAACTGAACTAGCAAAGAGCAGGCACAACAGTTTCTTGAACAGCAGTTTTAACATATTCCCAAAACAATGTTTGACTGCCAAATGTGCATTTAGCATGATATGTTCACAAAAATACACTATCAATGTATTGAAAGTCTTTCTCTGATAATTTTTCACACAGGATGTCGTAACTCCAAAGAGCCAAGAAACTGGAAAAAAATAATTTTCTGGTTTAACTGCTTAAAGTCTAGAAGCCTTAATGAAAGATTTTGAATAATCTTATTTGATTTATCAAAACTCTTTTTCATAGAAATTCAGACTAGGGGCAACACATATCAGATTTGTCCTGCAGAAGAGAATGAGATACACAATGAGAGTAGATCTAGAGCTTTGTGCATCACTGGGGGGAAAATTATGCCACATCCCCCAAAAGAGGAATGCATTTCACATTCAAGAACAAAATTAGCCAAACAACATGGACACAAGTTGAATAAGTTCAGTATAAGAAACAGAACACTTACTTTAACATCAGGTCTGGAAGGGTAACTGAAATGGATGTTTCTGAATTCAATTTCTCCTACGAGCTTGTCTGGCTTGTAGCCTTCCTTAGAACTGCTATCTATGAGCCGTTTCTGGAAAGAGGTTTGTAAAATATATTGGTGGTTATTTCACTTTTGGAACTGTTATTTCTGCTACATGCATTGGTCTTTCTCAGATGCTGGTTTGCACTGCAGTACGTCATTGCAGAACTGCTGCATTTTACCTGCAGAATGCTGAATATGGGGGAACATCAAATTGTAAATTTTACTTGACAAATATAGTGCATTTCAAAAGCAACAAAATCCATAGCAGAAAAACTATAATTGCAGAACTTAGATGCATTCTCTTGCAAGCAAAACGTGATCCTCAGTAATCTGTATAGGAGGGTTTTATACTCACATCAAAAAGAATGATGCAGCCATTTCTCCATGAACTTTTGATTCCTACTTTAAAATATTTTATAAACACAGATATGCAATTGCTGCATAGCACAGCAAAATCAAGATAATGATATGGAATACCTTTTTTATAGCAACATCAGCATTACAGATTATTATTGTTATAACTTTCAATAGTGATACTAATCCCCTCTTCACCAATTCCCCCTCCCCAGTAAACCCCATCTCAGCTGAATTTGTGCATACATGCATTTTTAAAAATTAGAATAATGCCATACTACTTTCCCTCTGGTGCTGAAAGTCTAATATTAGAGAAAAATCTCAACCAGATATCTCAGACACACATGCCAGGTTTCCCAGCTTTCACTGTAACAAAGAGGCTGGGTTTTTTTAGATCAATGAAAACATTATGGGTTTCTCTAGCAAACATCTATAGAGTTGATGATTTGGGGCTTTAGAGTGCTTTTGTTCCATTTCTCAAGGGAAAAAAAAATAAAAAGGAGAAGAAGTGGAAGCTAAGTTGGTTGAAAGGCTTCTATTCTATACAGTTAGATGTTTACCTTATTGATAATCTTATATACTTCATAGGCAGCCCCACGTGCATTGGCCACACTCTCCAGGTTAGGAGCTGCCTGGCCCAGGGAGAAAGCTCCGACAAGCACAGAGAAGAACACCTGTGGGAGACAGAGAGGAGCATTGCAATTAATGATTACATTAATGTCTACATGGGCACTAGAAAGACTTAAACAACAGCTCTAGGTTATTCATCCCACCTTACAAACAGAGTCCAAGACAATCAAACTTGTTTTATTGAAAGTTAGGCAAGATGAATACCATTCAGTTGTTTTATACTAAGTGAGCCTCTAAGAGCTAATTTAGCAAGCATGTGGCAGAAAACAAAGACATCACTTATATAACTTTCCCCGAAGATAGAGAGCATTTTTCAAAGATGCATTGCTGTACTTACAATTAACACACGGCCAATGTCATAATGTGGATCCTCAGCAGTGAGCTTGGTCCCGTACCAAAATGCAAGGGCATAGGATCCAAAGATAAAAAATTGTGAAAGACCTAGGCATGTGTTAGTGGTAATGGATTTTTTCATTCCAACACGTTTAGCCATCTCTAAGTTAGCATCATATCTGAAAGTGAGTAAAAAACCCATTAATTTGACAGGTACCACATGCCATTCTGGTGAATACTTTCCAGTGCCCTGTTCTTAATTAACAGGATTTATGTAAGAAAAACAATTAAAATCTCAAAGAGAATACAGGGTGGGGTTTTTTTGTTTTGGTTTTTTTTTTTTTTGGTGTGGTGTTTTTTTTTAATAGAGGACTATTAGGGAGGTAATTAATTTGAATAAATTTGCTCTGACATATGCCAAAAATATTGACATAATGGAAAATGCAATAGCACTCTTGAACTCATTGTTTCCATTAATCCTGAAAGGAAACCTTTAAAAGGTTTTAGAAGCAGTGTTCATCAGAAAGATAAAAGTTAGTTGTCCACATTTAAAGCAAGCAAAATAAAAAGCAAATCCTCCAAAAACCCCAGGCAATAGAGAAGGAGAAAAATGAGAGCTCCCTCCAAATGGGAACTTGTTCTCTTACTGGCCATTTTGGGATGTCAAGTATTTTTCCCTTAGGTCAGTTTACTGATTAACATATATAACCAGTGGACACAGAAGATCAGTGTAGAGACTAACAAGTTCAACTAGAGAATTATTTTTTCCAAGGATGGTTCAAATTAATTCCATAGTTTTCAACAAATAGCTTTCATTTACTCAAGCTCTTTATGCAAACTGTAGCCTAGGAATAGTGTAACTTTCTACCCATAATCAACATGGTCAGTAGCTTGCACTCTTTTCCTGGTACATATTTTCAATAAAGTACAACCCCATTATAGGAAAACATGCAATTCATTCAGCTGGGAAGCAATCTTAAAAAAAACTGCATTCATTTTGTTCATGTAAATTTCTAAGATGCTACCAGTGCTGTATTTTTTAGTCAAACATATTGAAATGTTTTGACTTGATTGTGCTCTTAAAACCAGGCCCTAAGTTTGAGTCAGCAGCATCATAGTTCTTCCAGGGAAATGGGTACTGCATTTAAGTAGTGTGATAAATACAGGTGATCACTCAAATACTGAGGAAAAGCCAAGCCACTGCCAGAAACTGAAGGTGACTGAAGATCCCTTGCAAGAGTAAACTTTTGCTGTCAGTGGAAGCACCGTGCAGTGAAAGGATGCTTTTCCTAACTCTGAGGTCAGCATTCAAGAGCTGTGTAGGAGTCACAATCCACTATCTGAAAAATGCACTCCCTAGTAGGAGCTTGTCCCTAGTAGAAGATATCCTAGGGGAGCCACTATGTTTGTTTGGGCTTTTTAGTATAAATGGAAGTAGAACTGTAGAAGAGGCTGACTGGTCAATCATAAAAAGGAAAGGCCTTACTTGACTCAGGTATCAGTTATTTTGTCTTTAGACAAAGTATTTTGAATTAATATTTACAGGTCCTGTCATTTAATTTTCAGACACTGGTAATTGCAGAATATGGGGAGAAGGGCAGGGGGCAACTTATCTGGGTCATCCTAGGGCTTTTTTTGCCTTTACTGTGCAAACAGGAACAGTCCAAATACTGTTGCATGTTAAAAACAAATTCCAGTAAGAAGACAGGGCTATAAGAGAGTCAGAGCTCAGTCCCTGGAAGCAAATACAGGAGCAGGCCATAGGAGCCTAAGCTAGGGTTGACACCACCTTAAAAATTCAGCACAAGATGAAGGCAAACATGAGTTGAAAAGATAGAAGAGTTTCATGGGGCATATGGATCAGGTCATCTGCTTTGCCTTTCCCAGCTGCATGGAATCAGTGATGCCTGGTGTTTATATAAAAAATTTATTGCTTATGCTTGTTGATATGCATCTGATATGCTCAAAAAGTTTGTGGCCAGCAACAATCATTTCACCTTGTATGTATGACTACGGCCAACACTGGGCAGCTACACATGTCGTTTGCAAATCATTAAAGCTGCAAATCATTGTAAAAGGCAGTAATGTATTTTTACCCAAGGCTGTTATCCAGTGTAGCTTAAAAATAAGCTCAGCAATCAAAGATCAGAGCAGTAGCACAAATGCTCTAGAAGATAAGCAACTTATTGCATGCTTTGCTGCATCTGACTCATGGGTAAAGGTAACCTTCCCACCACTTTCACATGCAGTTCAACTCCAGATCTCAATCAAAGGAGAAATTTTCATCTCTGCTGCAGTGACAACACCAAGTAGTCTGTATTCACTGACTAGGTCTATTTGCACACCTTCATTTTCAGATTATTTGTTCACTTATAGAAAGACAAAATGACACAAAGGAGAATCTCTTCCCTCTGCCCCTCCAAAAAAAAAATCCCCACAAAACAAATTCACAACTAAATGTCCTTGCCATATTTTAAATATAGTTATTAATTTTAAAACTTACTTCTCTAATGCCTTTTGCTGTCCATTGAAAGCCACAACAGTCCTGATTGCTGTCAAAATTTCTTCTGCCACAGCTCCTGCTTTGGCATAAGCAGAGAGCTCTTTAGCAGTAAGGGATGCCAGGAGCTGAAAAGTTGGAAAACAGCTGTTATTGCAGCCTACTGAAAGAATACACACACTGTCTTGGTGAATAACAACAATCCCACAAGGTGCACAAGACCAGACTCAGCCATGTGGGGGTCAGCTCCTCCCCATGTACTGAATTTCCCTCAAATAGAGTTCAATTTATCATTGTCTCATCATTACAATCAAAGGCTACGCAAACATCAGGTGAGCTTCCTGACTGATCTTCTTTCCTCCCAAGCCTACAAACTACACTGGGAAGAGTGAAGCAGGGAGTGCTCTTTCTAGAACACCAGCTGATATTGAAGTAAGCAAGAAAATCACATTATAGCCTCTAACATTCTTTTTCTTAGCTTATTTGTAATGCTTCAGGTAAGAAAACCCCATAAAATCATATAAATAGCCATTCAGGAGTATAAGCCATACACATTAATGTGGCCAATAGTGCATAAGGGGAAAGTTTTCCTATCTGAAAGGGAAACCTCTCCAGCCATTTCACGGATTTATATCACTTCAGTTTTCAGCAGCTGTATGTATCTGTATAGCTGTATAGATTTATTCTGTACATAGCATGAAACTTGGTAAATTATTTGCAAGAGATGTGGTACATGCATGCGCAGATGGAAAGAGGCTGAAAGGTATTTGCACTAGGAGGGAAAATTGAGGGCTTCCCCAGTGCTTGCCATGAGGAAATTGCTGTGCCAGAAAGATGCTCTGATGGAGATTACCCTCATGCAACATGGCATGAGGACAGGATATGCAGACAGAAGGAACACAACTTACAGGAGTGTGCTTGGGAACCCAGAGAAAGGCTGGAGGAAGAGTAGAAATCAAAGTAAGAGAGGGGCCAACCTCCCAACTTAAAAAATACATTAGATTTCTCCCATTCTCTGCCCCTTTTCTGTGCATAAGAATTTTATGGTTTTTCTGGTTTCTTTGTTCAAAAATCCCCACACACTTACAGTTGACCAAACCGCTGCTGATGCAGCAAGAAGTGGGCTGACTGACATAACCACCAGAGTCAGCTTCCACCCGTAGATGAATCCTATAATGAGCCCTGACACAAACGTGGAAAAAAACTGCAGAAATATACTGATCTTGTCTCCGATGCCTTCACGGATGGTGTTGATGTCACTTTAAATAACAATAATAAAAAAAATATTTGTTAGTATAGAGTGACTCTCATTTTGACGCCATCCCCCTTTTCTTGCCATGTGGCCTCATGTCAGGAGCTTTGCCATTTCCTAAGTGGCAAAAGAAATTTTCTGACCACAGCTACTGAACTTTACCATTAGGCTCTTCTGTAGCCAAAACACAGCAGAAACATCCTGTTTTTAAAGATTAATTTTCTGTATTCTCAACATTCTCTGCTGTATCTGTGCCATGCCACTAGGTCACCAATGACCTAGTTTCCTCATCTGGCATCCAAATGGAGCAATATAAGTAAATAATCAAGCAGCCTCTTCATCCAACTTGACCATCTCTAAATGATTTTTTCTGCTCAGCTCTCTGACGCATTTTATGTTTGCAATTTTGGCTACTGACTCAGATGAAGAGCTACCTCCACTCCATCATACCATTATTTGGAATAACCTCAATTTTTCTTACAAATTTCCCTCCTTATTTTCTCTTCCCAGAACCCACAGATGTTAGAGTTGAGAGTGGTTTCATTTAAGCTTTTCATACACTTTTCAGGACAGATCTGTGTCCAAAGATACTATAAAATCCAGAAAAAAAGTATTAAAAAAAAAAGAAGTAGTGTTTACACATATAATCCCATAGCACAAGGGCATTACAGTCCTCACCCCTAAATCTATTTAAGTTTATGGAACAACTCCAAGGACTTTAACTGGCTAGATTGAATACTGCCTGAAATACAAGTACAAGCCGTACTTGTACAAGTACTGATACTGAAGTCCAGGCTCCTTTCCATTCAATTAAGTGTCAGCTTTTGGTGTGTATAAACTAGGTGGAGACAGCAGAACTGTTTGTTTAGCAGTGGCTGAACATGTACTTCATGGACTTCAGAAAGCCAGTGTCAGGCATTTCATGAAAAAACCCCTTCCACTGCACATATCACAAACAGCACAAAGGAAGCTGAAAAGGATAATGAATTTCTCACTTTGAGTTGTAATATGTCACACTTTAGGTTTGTTAGATTTTTTTTTGTTTTGTTTTTGTTTTTTTAAACTCTCTATAGGCTACTCTCCTGAGATAAATGTCAGTTTACTTTTAAGTGCCATACTTGAGGGTGTGTGTATGTGTGCAAAAACCAAAACAGAGCCCTCACTCTGTCAGTCTGGTGTTCAGTGCTCCTATCTGGGTAGTATCAAACCAAGCCATCTCTTGATGGAGCACTGCAAAGAAGAACTTCTGCCGGATCCTTGCAGTTTGCCTTGTAGCAGTAACCAAAAATGTCCACACTTGGACGATGCTCAGGATCAACACAGCAAAGCCAATTCCCACGTAGTAGTAAGCAAACCTGGGATAAGGGAATAAAAGCCCATGTGATCAAACTGTAGCTCATGAGAGAAGTTAGACACACAGAGCAGCAACTAGTCTTCATTAATCACACCAAAGTAAATACTGAAGCTTGTGGTGCATTATTGGGAAGGCAAACATGGCTTCTTCTCAAACAGATAACACAGTAAAAGAAAACCCTCTAATACATTATTAACAGGATAACTACAGACCCTTACTTTGTCATTTCACCTTCTATATCCACACCTGGATCTGATGGGCAGCTGGAATTGTTTACTGAAGTATCTGTGAAAAGGAAATAAAAAGCAGGAATATTTGTAGAAGTGCTATATAGAGGAACTGATTCATGACAATATGGGGTCATCAAGTTTGGGTACGCTTTGTATTTTGCAAGTGGAGAGTCTTGCAATACAAACTTAAATACAAAATTATTTGGCAAATACACATTTATTTTTAAGCAATTAATGATAACTGAGGTTGATTGTACTCCCTGCTATCTTAACAAAGTCAAAGTACATTCATAAAGTGCACATCCAATGCTTTGGTTTTGTCCTGGTGTAGTCATTAAAGATGGATTGAAATGCCTGGGTTATTTCCAGCAGGATGAGTGTTGCTCATAATATGCTTCCTTAGATATGTAGAGTCAGTGTATAGTCTGGGGGGAAAGAAGAATCTTAGACTCAGTAGCAAAGCACAGCCAATATGTAGAGAAATTTAATTTAAACTTTTTACCATTGGATTGCACGCCACTTAGCACAAAGCTGTTTGTCATCTCTCCAAAGATAATGATCATAAGTGGCATTCCAGTACCATTTGCAGCCGCTGCAACCAAACCAACTATCATCAACAGGACATCCACCCCATCAGCATAGCGAAACTATGTAAGCATTAGAAAGAAAAAAAAAAAAGAGAGAGAAAAGTGACATTACACCTGACAGTTCATGCATTTGCTACAGTACAGCAGACTTGCAGAACATGCTCCATCCACATATTCTAAGTAGCAGCACTCCAGTTGAAGGTAAACTTTGTAGTAGTGCAACACATCTTTAAATTAGTACCCAGGCTGCTAAGAGAATGCTGGCAGGACACAGATTCTTTGTCTGGGAAAAAACTATGTGCTTGCAAGTGATGATGACCTTTGTAGAATATATTGTATTTTGTGTTCCATTGAGTTACATATTTACTAAGATAATGCCTCTACTATGTAAACAAAAGTGAGTTATTGACCAGCACCTGGCTTATACCTACCAGTAGAAAACGTTTTTAGCAGAGATAGATTGTACCTTAAGACTTGTCTACCCCTGAAGCTTTGTTTTGTTTGAGGAAGGGTGAGATTTTAAACTGCTATAGATATCCCAGGATGTGGTTAATCTGAAATCAGAGCATTTTATTCCTGACTGCCCTGACCATCTCATAAAGTGTAAACATATATGAAATCAAACACAGAAGAATAAAACTTTTCTTGTTTCAGAGTAATCAAGTCCACATGCAAGAGCTATTTTGTTTGGGAATAGCTGTCTTACAGAAAACTGCCACAAAACCATTATCACTGGTTTTCAGAGAGCAGGTGTAGAATCAGTAGTCCTCAAGCTTCTTCTCCAATTTTTGGTTGCCTATGAATTGTCATTCATAAAAAACTCACAATGTCAAATAAAGAAAAGAAAGTATAAAGCAGATCATTAGACAGGACACTAACCAACTCAAGAATGCCAACCATTCGTTTCTCTGGCTTCTCATCTTCCTTCCTAGAGTAAAGTACAAAAGACTAATTAAGATGAGGGAATTTTTTAGCAAACCTTTATTAAGCTCTTTTCCTCCTTCCCCTGCACTTCTGACATCCCCATATACCCAGGTAACTTAAAGCTAAAAAAATACCTACATTTCCTTCTTGGGCTTTGACCGGTCAATTTGTTCTACATGTTCTTCATGCTGGAAAGAAGGATCATCACACCCCTTGTATCCAGATTCTGTGAAATAAAAAGGCTTTCTTAGCATACTAATCCATCTATCATACTACCTTCTTGTGTCTTTCACCGCTGATTCTTTTGCATTTAAATACTAGTTTTTTCTCATGTTCTTGGGAGGAAGTTTCAAGAAAAATTCACCAGGTTCTTTCTCTTCAGTTCATCTTTATTCCTAGAAAAAGCTTCCATGTCCATTTCTGAGATGGAAACAACATTTTTATAATTACAATGTATTTATCCAGAAAGATTATCAAAGACTAAAAGAAAGTCTTTGATAAGATTATCAAAGACTAAAAGAAAAAGAAAGTTAATTCTTCCTTCAAATACCTGCACAACTCAATGCAAATTAGAAGTCCTCACAAAATTGCTTATAGTGAAGGTTATAATTGCTGTAGGTAACACAGAATAGGTGGCAGTTAACTAAAGAATCATGTCCTTGACTCTAATAAACATCTTCACTATTTGATTGCAGTAGTTGTTACATGTCCCACTTCCTTTGCGCTGGCTGGGAGCTCCAGAAAGTTAGATGAAAGCATAATCCTACCCAGGAAGCTTATAGTTCTAAATGCATCAAATAAGACATAAAAACATATGTAAAGAAACAGATGAGTAACCACAGTGGGGAGCCACCTGTAAAACAAAAAGAGACAAGGTGCTCCCCATACCAGCCACTCCCAATTTACATTTATCTTAACTTTCGCTGTTGACTCACAATGAATAGAATTTTTACCTATTGTTTTAAGGTTAGTTGGCCTACAATGGCTGTTTGAGACAACAATTTGAAAGCAATAACGTTCTTCCAGCTTACCTCAGGAGAATTTTCATGCCCAGGCTAAGACCCTCCTGAATAGTTTTACAAATGCAAACCGATTTTGTTGAACTTGATGGAATGATTCACACAAAAAATATTTTATAGGTGTGGCTTCAATTCACTCATTCATAGGAAACTCATCACCTACAAAATCACTATGGCAATCAGGAGAGCTTTACAAACATTCTTTAGATTCAAATCTGTGGAGCACCACCTCATGTGGTGTTCCTTCTTACCAGGATCAGAGAGGTTCTGTTCTGTGGAATTTGCAGAATAGTCCTTCATGGTTCTTTTTATTGTGTGCTTATGAGAGAGTCACATTAGAACCTGCAATAAGCCCCCCCCAACAAAACACTTTGATTTAGTAAATATTTAAAGACTTCATATCTGTGGATTTTTCCATTACTCATCACATTTTGGTCTAAACATGATTCTACCTAAATAGAAAGACTAGAAAAAGAAAAAAAGGTAACAGCATGAAAAAATAAGTACTAGTAGTGAGATATTAAGAACAGTGCACAGTGTTACTAAGCAATTTAGGTCAGTATCCTGTTTTAGTAGTCTTTTATGATAAATCCTGAAATTACCAACTTAAAAGTTACTGTAAACAATCTATTTCAGAATAGATGATTTCCCTCATTACCTTATGTTTATTTAGAACTAAACGAACAGCCATAACATGGTCACAAGTATAATGATAAGACCTGTACTTGTTATGCCATGTTATGCTAGGATGCATTTAGAGGCAGTAAAGAACTGATGCTCTTAGTTTCACCCAGGCTTCTCTTCCTAATCTATCAAATATACTGGTTTAAAAGAAAAAAAAAAGAACAACAACAACAAAATCCCTAGCAAGAAACTGCATATGAATCTATTGAAGCCTAAAACAACATTGATAAGAAAATGCTTAATCAATCTCAGATAAAGTGGAAAAAAAAAAAAAAAGAAAAAAAGCCAAAACCCAAAACCGACAACAAACACCTGTTCGCTTTCTGGCTGTGCTTTCCCCCTCTCGTTATTTCAGCTCACCTTCACAGCCCGCCCGCGTAGGTGGCTGCGGCCCCGACGGCGCGGTCCCCGCAGGGCGGGTCCGCAGCGCCCGTCCCGGGCTTTATAGCGGCGGCACCGCCCGCCCGCCCGCCCGCCCGCGGCTCGGGTTGCGGATGGAGGTCGGCGCCGCGGCCGGGCAGAGCCGCTCTCGGCTCGCCGTGCAGATAGATGAAGGTCAGTGCCGCAGCCGGGCAGAGCCGCCCCGGATGAGGGGCCTGCAGAGGGATGCCGGCCGGCTCCTGCCCTCTGTCGCCTTTCGGAAGCCGCCCGAGGGTGTGCGAGCCTGCAAAGCGCGCAGGGAGAGCCCATCAGCCCCTTGCCGCAGCACTGCTTCTGTCCTGACTCTTACAGAATAGTTAATCTTAGAAGGGGACCACTGGATGTCATCTGGCCCAACCTCCCTGCTCTAGTGGTCATCTAGAGGACATAAGGTAGGATTAATAGGTACAGACATATTTTGAATATTCCCAGTGAAGGAGGACTCCAGAGCCTCTCTTGGAAACCTGTTGGAGTGCTTGATCACCTGCACAATGCAGAAGTTCTTCCACATGTTGAGGTGGAACTTTCTGTGTTCAACTTTTTTCTTCTTGCCCTTTACCCTATTGCCTGGCATCACTGAGAAGAGATGCTCTGTCCTCTTGGCACCAGATACTCACAGGCAGTGATGAGATCCCTCTCAAGCTAACCAGGACCAGCTCCCTCAGCCTTTCCTCATAAGTTGAGGTGCCCCGGCACTCTCATCATCCTCATTGCCTTACACTGGACCTGCTCCAGAAGCTCCATGTCTCTCTTATGCTGAGAAACCCAGAACTGGACACAGAGTCTCACCATTACTAAAACTAGATGAATTTAAATCTAGAATACTCAGTTGCTAAGCAGAGATGAAGGGGTATTTGGAGAGCTGCTTGTCCAGGGAAACATTCAGATTTGGGAAAGTTATCTGCAAGGTCCTGTCAAATTTGTGAAATTACATCACTGCACTTGGAGAATTTCAAATAAGACTGAAGATATGCTGGTGAATTTCAACTAAGAATTGTTATTAAATAAAGGCTTTTCTGTTCCACTTCTAAATGACATGACAACTGAAACCAGCTAAATTCAAAATTGTTTTTAGAGAAACTAAGCAACGTGTTTTGCTTATTTGGTTCTCACCTGTTCCCAACAATTTGTGTGGGGTTTTTTTCAGAAATAAGACTTGGTTTGGGCTAGTTGAGAGGGTGGTGGTTGGCTTTGTTGATGTCTTTTTTTTCTCCCTTCTGAAGAAATCAGGTAAAGAAATCAGGTTTTCTGCACGAGCTTAAAAAATAACAGTTTTTCAGCTTCTCCACTGGTACATATTATAATCGATATAATTTGCTTTCAGTAATGCCTCTAGGGGTTATGGTATATAAACTCCTACTTGTTCTTCCATCCACCAAATGCTGGTATCCCAGAGAAGACTCCCAGATATTTAAACTAGTTACTCTGCTGAAATTTTTCTCAAGCAACAAGATCAAGGCTTGGCCCAAGTTTCTCTTGGCCACCTCCCACTAAGTATTCAGATTATGTTTGTGTTACATTCATTGGTCATGATGCTCTGAAAGAACCTCAGAAGAAAATGTGTTATTGGGTGTTATTGTCTCCTGCTCACTGGAACCCTGTATGTTCAGGTAGAGTCAAACTCCTGCATGTCAGACCTATGACTGTTTCTGTACTTTCTTATCTCATTAGCATTACCTAGGATTTATATTACTTATATTTTATATTACTTGCATATCTATATATGTAGTTTATATTAGCCTGGAGAAAAGGAAGTGCAGGGGAGCCTTGTCTTTCTCTACAACTACCTGAAAGGAGATTGTGGCAAGGTGTGCATCTGCCTCTTTTCCCAAATAAGTGACAGGATGAGGAAGTGGCCTTCAGTTGTGCCAGAGGAGGTTTCGTTTGGATATTATGAAAAAATATCATCAGCAATGTTGTCAAGCACTGGAATAGGCTGCTCAGGGAAGTTATTTTGTCACTATCCCTGAAGGCATTTAAGACATGTGCAGCTGTGGCACTTAGGAACATGGTTTAGTAGCAGATTTGACACTGTTGGGTTAGCAGTCTGACTCAATGATCTTAGAGGTCTTTAGGTCTTTTCAAACCTAAATGGTTCTGTGATCCTGTGGCTCAGTGTTAAGCCTACATTATGCACATACACATCTGTTCTCTGCTTCAAAAAATTAAAAAGGCCTTTGGCTTCTGCTGCCATAAAGAATATGAGTTTACAGATTTTTGGAAGAGACAGAAACACCAAGGTGAAATTACTTTCCTGTCCCAGCCTCAGTCTTCACAATTTTATGGAGTATTTCCTTCACCAAAGGTAACAAGTTTTCTTGTTACTCATCTCAACGAGAGTGAGAACATCTCCTTACCACATCTCAAATTTTTATTTAAACCGCTTATAAACTATTATTTTCAGAAGAAACTATCTTTGCATATAAAATTTTTGATGAAAGGGACATTCCACCCGGAAAGCAAACTCCTGGTGTGGGATTGAGAGCACATAGATAGCAAAGTAGATGAATGGAGGTAGCATGAACCCAAAAAAGTCACTAGGACTCTATTTCAGAGCTATGCAATACTCACAGATGGTATTCAGCATCACTGGCAGCTAGGGAGTGTTTAATACCTCCAAAACACAGACACTTTCACTTTTCAAAGCTTCATTATTAGTTATTCACATACAGTAAAAACAAAGTTGTTACAATCACAATTCAGATCCATTGCTCTGTACTCCACAAGCCTGGCAAGAAAGAGCCTGAGTTCCCCTGCATAGAAAAGTTGGTCCAAAAAGGGTGTGGGAGAAGAGCAAAGAACTGATCATGCAGAAAAAAGAATCACAGGGTCTTGAGCAGGAATTTGTTTCCTTCTCTCTTCCTCCTCTCCCCATTTCTTCTCTTGGAAGGGATGATATGCTCTATGCAAGTTAATGAGCATCTTCAAAGGGCCAAGAATCCCACCCAAGCTATAAACAGAGATTAAATAGAAAATTAGAAAAGAAGGAATAAGAAATGGTCTCCTGGAAAAATGTTCCCCATCAAACCTACTGAGAAACATGAGCTTGTAGTCTAGCTACAGCTAACCACTCTACGCTTAAGTTAAAAATAAACCAGCGTATTCTGATATCCTTGCAGAAGCAAACATTCTGGACTAAAATGTACATGTAAAACAGAGAAGACTCCCATCAATAGAAGGGAGAGGAGCAACACAAAAAAATCCAGTTTACAATTTTGCCTTTGTAATTTTGAGATGAACACATTATGATAAAAATATCATAATGCAATTTGGAGAAGAAATACTATTCTTCCTTTATCCAAAAATATCTTCTATCTTTGGAAAATAATATATGCATCTGAAAAATATTCTATCCCAAATAGCCAATATACACCTATGTCTCCATGTGTTTGTTTCATCTGTCCAAACACTGTCACTGACAGGAAGAGCAACATTAAACACAATTAAATATAATCAATTAACACAACCCATAACAGACTAGAAAATGTATCTACTTAAAAAATTATTATCCATAAGCACATCTTTAAAAACAAGCAAACCAAACACCCTACCAGAAACACCCTGTTACACAAGCTGAAAATGAAGACTTGTTTCCCCAAGAAAACCATTAACCCTGAAAAGAATGCAACACATGGTGTGCAAAACCAAGTGACACCCAACTTTACTGAAACATTTCCTCAAAATGACAGTCAAGTACAAAGAAGGTGTATTGTATTATACAGGTATCGGAGCTCCTAATCACTTTGTGATTTCTCCAGCAGATGAGAAGAACACCAGCAAGACATCTCTCTGCACTCAGAAACCTCTACCTTAATTACAGCTCATTACCTTCATATTTGTAATTTACAGGCAGGACCTATAAACGACTGCGCTGCACTTTGGATTTTGTTGCTTTGTGACTTTTGTTTATGCGACCTGAGATTCAGCCAGAAAGGACTTGACAGAATCACTTTAAGATAAGAAAGTCCTGGTTTCTTATTTATTTTTTGGCAATCAGACTAAAAATGGAAAATTGTTATTGTAGGATTTGGGGGTAATTTGTTATAATCCCCTCCCACATATCCACAGCAGTGCAGTGACATTTGTATTGTACTGAAGCTCAACAGGAAAACTATTAGTAATCACTGGGAGTAGCTGTAGTCATGGCACAGTGCTTGGAATTAGGAGACTGGATTTTGGTGGGCATAAATGGAGTG